CCTTGGGTACCACTGTTGAACACCAGCTGTTTCATTAGTCTCCCACGCATTAAAATTTTGTTGTCGATGCATCTGATGAGGAGATGGGTCTTGTTGCTCTAACATTTTTCCTACATTTTCGCCTTCAAAATTACCACTAGACTCGAATTTCAGACTGGGGGTTGTCTGATAGCCTTGGTAACCATTTTGAAATGAATCTTCGGGTTGTTTATTAGTGGATTCAGCGCCAACTGTGTCTTCTACAGTCCGCACGAGTTTGTAGAGGGGATTTGAGACGGACCGGTAGATTTGATCGGCAAGGAATGAGTAGCCGCGCATGAGGTTTCCTGTCTGTTGTTGCTGCTGTTGCTGTAATTGCTGCTGATCGGTGCTTCCTGGACCTGCAAAATTCTCACGTTGGGAAAAGTAAAGTAGCTGCTGTTGGGTGGAAATGTGGTTTTTTGAGAAACTGTTGTTTTCAGCTACTTGAAGTGGACCTTCTGTCGTCATTGAAAATTCTTCAAATACCACCACTGCACCTAGCAATGTGAAAAGGTATTTAGGAAATCCGAATCTATCTATCTAAATCTGTTTTACATTTGAGGTACATTGGAAATCTTAACCAAGCTTATGACTGCATTTAGTCTAACGCTCGTTCATGTAGGCTTATGACAAAATTCATCAGACTGTTTTCGAGATTTTTAGACATTAGTTTGCAAGAAGGGGCTGTAAAAAGCAGTTTTGGATTAACGCTATTTTAAAGTGCAAATATTTACTTTACAATTTACACTTTGCATTTTTTTGGAAACTACTAGTGTAAACACTTAGAACCCAAGGTGTAAAGACATGAAGATATACAAACTTACGTGTGACGTACTAACCCATTCACTATGGGTATTATGTATATCGAAGAATCTTTAATGCAATTCAAGAAATGTGGACATTTATTAAATCTTAAAATTTGCCTTTTAACAGGTTACCTACGGAGAGTAAATAGTGATAAATTAAATTGAATATTTTTCGGCTCATGTAGGACCTGGACCCATAGCTTTATTCAACACAGATAAGCTAAAGAGAAATCAAATATAATAATTATTTGCTGTTAAAAAATTGCACCTACTGTTGCATAAGCACTTGCGATTAAATTAATCTACTTACCTCTTCTTGACTTGCACGCAGTCTTGGTAGCAAATGTTTAATTCAGTCCCTTTGGTGGAGTCTGTTAAGTAAATCAGAAGTCTTAATGCTCAAACCACCAGGTGGGTTTTAATAATGTACAAGACTTAAGAGCCTTTATTAACAATTCCGTACATAGAGCGATAAATATTGGATACGCTCACGCGAACACTGAGCATTCAAGCAGGGCAGGTGGGTTAGCTAATCACAGAACAGCGCGTCTTTGAGAGGGGAGACCATACTGTTTCATGATTGGTCCATTGCAGATGCTTTTAAAAAACAACTCAATTAACCAATGAAAAGGCAGTGGGGGAATCAATAAGGTGGAGAAGGAAAGGAAGGTGCACAGTGATGGATGAGCTGAAGTGGTAGTGGAGCAATTCTTCCTCTCCAGAAAAGTTTAACTTAATTGTATGCATATGTTACCAGCTGTTATTTCTATCAGATGATATTCTTCTCTCAAAAGAACTGTTCTCATTCCGATTCTTTGCTAGGTTCTCAAATTTACAAGCCATTTGGGAAGGGATTAAGCTTTAAAAAATTTAATCGGTTAAAGTGGTTAATGAAACTAATTATAAAAGATGTCTGCTTTAACAATAATTCATAATTCTATATAGCTACGAGCCAGATGTCAGCCATATATGATAACACTACTTTTGAATTATTTGTAAAACAATAAGTTTTGCGAAGAGTGTGTTGCCCTTTGAAGTTGCTAAATACACAACAATAAGCTTTAGATCCGGTACAATTATAAAAAGGGGATCAACCTGGTCAACATTGCAGTTCATCTGAATATATCAAAACGGGTTTTCAATGTGCTATTTTCATTAACCGAAATCAGCAATTTTTAATCATTACATTTTCAGGCAGTAAATGTACATTTTGCTTACTTTTAGATGGTGAAAACCGTCTAAACATTGTGATTAATGCCAATTTTAATGCTAAGAACATAAAGGAAAATTATTTTAGTATGTAATTTTAGTAGCGCCTCTATAACAAGAATGTGGCAAAAAAAGTGGTGTTTTAACTTGCACTAAGTATGTAATGCACGACTTCCACTTAGCACCCCACGTGTCTATAGGACGATGCAAAATAATGCTTGCTTCACTTTCCTTCTCTCAGTCCATCCCTCCTCTCGTGCACGCACTTTGCCTGATCAAAGATTCATTAGGTAATAATCATTTTTACCAGTGTCCCCTACTCCTCCTATGCCCTTCAACCCTCCTGTCCCTAGGGGGTAAACACGCCTTACCCTTTCCTCCCCTCATGCGGGCATGCACGCACGGATTCGTACATCGAGCGCGCCGTGCTTTTTACCCATTGGTTCGTGCACATACCGCTGATGCCGCATGAAATATTCATGAATTTGAGAGCAGGGGGACGTGAGCAGCAGTAAGATATGGAGTAGAGGGGGAGTTAAAGCAGAGCAGGAGAAAGTAGTGTGCAGCAGCACTGACGACCGCTTGTCTGGCACAAATCACGCAAGTCGTCCCAACGCGCGTACGAGTAAACACTGATTCGCGGTATCTGCTAGAGTGCTCCTGGAATTGCCCATTTTGTTTTACAGAGTAAGATTCTATAAATGCACACCTTTCATCCGTAGATTCTACCTCAGTTTACTCTATTCTATTACCCTAAAATAACTTTTTAGTGTTTTGTTCATTAAACAAAAATTTATTACCGTATTTGATCTCTAAAACTATTTATGTGGAGTGCATAGAGTAACATTTAAGCGTCTTTTAGCTTTTTCAGATACACTATAGGAAATCCCGTCCCTGCATGAAAAAAAGAAGTAATCTGTGGTTACAATAGGCAAATGATTAAAATAATTCAATAATGTTAACAAAATATTTTGGTTTACTGTAATGCGCAATAACTTGAAGTAGTAACCTAGTTTCTACTGTGCATCTCTCCAACAGCGATTCTCATATCGCTAAAAGTGGCTTTGTATTTAGTTGAAGACAAACGGCTCCATTCTCTTAGATGCGGATGCTTGGACGATTGTGTGTATGGAAGTTCATCTGTGTATAGTGTTTGTATTTTTTACCCAGTTTAAGAAGTGATGTATAGTTACAAGTGGCTCCACCCCTTTGTCCCTACAAAAGTCTCTGTGATGTTCTGACACCTTCGAGAAACCGTTTGGATGTCCACTTAACACTCCCTCCATCAAGCATAGTCTGTCAACTGTCCACCTGGCCTGCATTAGCATAGCATCAAATAGCGGATATAGGGATGCCATAATTTGTTTCCACCTTTTTTTAAACCAATTTGAGAGGCTTACATAAAATTCACAAACAAATTTTAAAACCATTGCTTCGTCGAACAGTTTTGGATGTTGAGATGACTTTAAAATAAGTTGTTTGCGTAAAGGCAACCAAATAAGTTTGTGCGTTGCATAATAACAAAAATTGAACAAATGCTCAAATATTATCAAAATGCCTTATTCGACGAAACAGTTAATGTTAAATTGTATGCATATCTTAGGGGAGACACAGACCTGCAAACTGCCAAATCCGTTCTTCAATCACATTAATTCCTAATTTATCTTTTACGTATGCGATTGTGCGACTTTCTGATGCCAAGACATGGGTATAAGGACACAAAAAAGTTTTAGGGGAGCATTAAGGGTAAGGGCATGTCAGTATCCATTTCCCATTTGAAAGTGTAAACCTTAGTAAGGTGTAGCTCTTCAGGCTAAAGCACTATATACTCACTCTGTTTTCTTGTGCATATGGAACTGGAACTTTTCCCTACTACTTATATAATCTTTGGTGCTTCTAATTTTTTTCCACGCCTCATTTGTAATGATTCGAGTGAATCCCAGGAGTAGTCTATAGGCTTTCACGCAAGAAATTTACTGCTCACAATAGCGCCTGCAGCCTACAACCCACAAAGCAAGCATGACCTAGTGGGAATGATACAAACATATCTTAGAAGTTAGGGTGAATAGTGAAGTTGAAATTAGCACAGCGGTTGCTATGCATATTATACAATTTTGCTGTACTGTCTAGTGATTCACCTTGCACGAACTTTTTGAAAATCCACACAACATGTTCTACAAAAACAAATATGTAGAAAAAAAAACATTTATTAAATGATTTACTCAGTGCAAATAAATTCACGCTAGCTGCACATCATACCACCTTCTTTGGCCCATACTTTTGCATCTGTTAATGTATTAACTCAGAATCGCAACCATGATGAGTAAATACTAATTGTGACACATAGTTTCATATCATTTCAAAAAGAACTTTTAAAATGACAGTAGCATGAAATATGCACGGCGGATCAATAAACAGTCAATTTGACGTTCACTATTTCAGTATTTTTGGGTTTTTTGAAACTTGATGCCAAAACGGGGGAGTTATAGTAAAAAGGAAAAGCACACGTTTTTACCTTGCTGTTACCACATTAGTGTGATTAACGATATGAATGAATTTTATGGGAAATAGGGATGGTAAAGAGGCTCTCTCTCTGTCAAATACAATAGTGCAACGCAACGGTCTGGAATTAAAATTATCTATTTGTGTTTAATAGTTGCATTAAGCTAAATCAGTTGATTACAGCAGACAGATATCTACTGTAACTGTATTACCAGAGCTGAGCTATTTTGTGGATCTATTGAGATGGCAAATAATAGAAGTGCTCTTGAGGAATCATTTCACTAACACGTTGCGTACAACTTTCTTCAATCTTTAGGATCATCTCCCACACTTCATCCAAGCTCCATCACAGCTCCCATTCACGCCAGGGAAATAGAGTGGTTTTTAATCAACGTTCTTTTAATTCGTAAAATTGGTAAACAAATACTTAAATCGAAATCAGGTGTTGCATACTTAGTAAATTATTGACACTTCAATAATCGGTAGACAGCTCATTTATAAAATGACAAGGGTAAGGCTAGGATAAGGCTCATAATAATTTTGGTTCTGATTTTGGCTAGACTTTGCGGATTTGTCAGTCCTTCATAGTGTATCTCACCTAATCGCTATTCTCCTAATTTTACATTAGAGATAAAATGGTAGTAAGCTTAAAAACTCTGATGATAGATAAGCATTAATTTCAAGATTTTATGGACAAACTAAGGAAAAAGAAATCTTTTTTACAAAATTACCTTAACTTACTATTTAGGATTGAAACAAAGTGCTTTGATTAGAATGGTTCTGCAGTTAAACTTACTTTCAATTAATTGGTTTTGAGTTTCAATAAGCATTATATCTAAAAATAATTTCAGTTTCATCAAAATTTATTAAAAGTTTGCGTAAAATCGAAAGGAAAGTTGGATACCAAATTGACCAACTTGGGTTGTGTAGTGATGACATACATAAAATAAAAAATTATTCATTTTTCACGATTGTAATCTCCATTTTTACGTACTTGTATCAGACTAGTAGCGTACACAAGAGTGCCTGATATATCATTGTAAAGCAAGACATCTTCTTAAGCGATAATTGAACATATCACATAAATTCGCCTAAATGTAAACCAAGCATAAACGTCGTGCCTTCTTTGGTTATTTTGATCTTCGCACAAAAGGCTGAAGTACTTAACCTTTTTTAAAACTCACCTCCTACTTATCGTTTAATTCATATTTCATCATGCTGGAAACACTTTTCCAAGAACTTGATATTCTAGTGGGGCTTAATCCTATCTACACTTGATCAACAATGCCTACTTTTATAAGTAAAGTAAAAATTGTTTGAATAAATACGGTTATAATTTACGATTATGCAAGGGCGTTCCGCTAAGACATGTTCGAATACTGTTTAAGTAGATTATTCAGTAAACTAATTCGGTCAAGGACGCATGTAGTACAGGAAGTAGCAATATGAAGTACGTAAACTGCATTCTACCGTACCATTGAATTTGACAAATTGTCTAAAATTTCCGTTAGGATTATAAGAGTTGGGGAAATAATGTATGCTCTTGATCTAAATTTAAAAAATATTTCCATATAATACAGGATTATATGTCAAATTATTGAAGGATATGTGACATTAAGGTTGTAGCTCCCCAAGACCTCCCTAAAGACTAAAGAAGACGCAATACTCGGACAAAATATTATGTATTTTACATGCAGAAGGTATTAAGGCTACCGGCATGA